CTCATGGATGACAACTTCGGATATCACTATGACAAAGTAGCTAAATGGTTCAAAGACGTATTGATCGCAGATACAGACTTGATTTTAGCCCCATACCATAACATTCATGAAAAGCATTGGACACTTGTTGCAGTAGACCTTCGACGAAAAGTTATAGAGTACTACGATTCGATGAAACCAAACTCTGACGTTGCAAAAAAGGTAGTCAATAACTTCACGAGGTACGTGTACGATCGATCAGCACAACAAGGAAAACAAGTAAACACTAGACGTTTCAAGAAGGTATTAGAGGTGGTTGATATCCCGAAATAGAAAGACATTCATCGGTGTGAAGTATTTGTGCTAGCATACGCATTTCTTTTGGCAAGAGGTTGTTAACCACCATTCAAATTTGATATGCACGATATCCAACGCATTAGACGACGGATCGCACTAGACTCAGTAACAACTAGAGAGGATGCGTAATATGTGACAGGTTGCAGAGGAGATTGAAGCGGTTGAAAGGTGACAGTCATTGAATTGTTCGGTTGCAAGTCACTTATGGCAGTTTGCAAATGTACAATGTTATGTACAATATGAATTGCTATAACCGACAGATCGCAAATACAGCGACGCAAACATGAAACTTCAACGTAGTCAGACAACATGTAGAGGTCAATGTGAGATCTGCATATGTATGATCTATGTGAGATCTGGATATGTATGGTCTATGTGGAGAGCATAATGTATCATATACAATAAGCATATATATGGTGTACGCGGTATGATGTGCATATGTATGGTGAATGTGGTATGATGTGCATATGTATGGTGTATATAGCATGATGTACCCCTAATGGTGTATGGTACATGATAGTTCACCTACCATATATGGTCCATGTGGTACCATACGACTACAACCTACCATGGTCTACATATAAAGTCAGAAGTCACAATTTTGGACGAAAATTTTGTACATTTCTCACTTGATTCAATTTCGCGATTTTAGAAAAAAATGTCAGTTTTAACGAAATGTCAGTTCATCCTAATTACACAAGATGGTTCATGAATCCTGAAGTAATTCAACTCTTATACCCAACTTACTTATGGCATAATGCTAGACCATTCGGTTTGGAAAAAATGTCCAGCGTGCCTTAAGATATACACGAACAGGTTGCACTACTACTTCGCTCTTTTTTGGGCATTTTACTAGACCATTCGGCTTGGAAACAATGCCCAGTCGCCCTTAACTGTTTAATATCCAAAATTTAATAACTTTTTTTTTTCTCAAAATAAAATACAAATATGGGCAGGGGACTGAACCATTCGGCTTGGAAACAATGTTCAACTTGCCCAGACGACTTCCAATTATACTCAGTAATTTCTCTTCTCTTCTTAGTGATATGGCTTAGCGTTGGACCATTCGGCTTGTAAACAATGCCCAAATGTCAGTTTACATGCAAATATAAGTAAAATATTTTTTTTTATACTCAGTTTATACTTATGTGCGTGGTTTTCAGACTAAACCATTCAGCTTAGAAACAATGCTTAGCCTTTGACCAAAATTCTCCCTAAGAATAAAACAAGAACTTAAACCCTTCAAACCAGGCAAATCCTCAAAAATTAAACACAGCAACCAAGTCATTCAGCTTAGAAATAATGTCTGGCCCTTCAGAAAACAATCAAATAAACATAACCCTGGGCCATTCAGCTTAGAAACAATGTCCAGTCCTTGATTGACCCAGTCAAACGCATGCAAAACTACCTTTCTCCCACCTTCCCCCAGTTCACCCCTTTGTCTGCTTTCAATCAAAATAAAAATGAAACTTATGCTTCACTCTCACACATTCCTTCCATTTAGTCTGATTAATCCTGAACAAAAGAAAAATCATAAGGGAAACATATGCATACATTCAGTCAAACTAAAGGGAAGTAGTCAAGCAGGGGTAATATGGGGTCATACAGATGAAGAAAGGTGTACCTGTCAGTTCCCTGCCTCCAGAACCTCGCCTAGGTTCCGGCAGAGCTCCCGCAATCGATGGGCAGACTCCCCACACAGTCTTGCTGCGGTCCTACGGGTTGCAATCCCGCCTGCCGCTTTCCTCTCGTAACCAGGATTAAACTTAGAGTAAGAAGGGCAGAAGGTAAGGGGTTTGAGACTCTCGAGATACAGGAGAGGGACAACTCAACTCTCAGGAGAGGGCCTTGTTATCTTCATACACATGAGGGCCCCGAAATGATGGCCAACAAAATGCAGCAGCTTGGTCAGACTGAAGTCAACCTGCTGACTCTTGACTCCCTGATGACCCTCTCAATCGCCGTGGTAATCCCCTTCCATAAGTTGATCACTTCCTCCAGATCATCGTGCCCTTACCTATGACCAAAACTGCCACTTCCACATCGACCAGCTATTTGCAATGGTCACCCGATAACTCCCTTGTCCTGCTGTAGTCCTAGGCAACAGTCCGCTATAACAGTCAGGATGTCAGGTAGCACCGGCCCATAGTGAACCGAAGATAACCAGTAATGTGCCCAGAGTTGCGTTGGCATTAAATTTTCTCTACATGACGGGCAGCAACCTCCCCACTGTTTCACGACCAAATGAGGATTGAGCCCAGGACCTCATGAACGCCACTTGAGTGCCTCACCAACTGAGGTAGGCTATCAGTTTCGAACTCACGTCTGCAATTTGTTCAGTTTCACGCATCCACTCCGCAGCCTGCCGTTGCGTGAACTGAGAGGGAATCTTTCGCTTGGACACAGGGAGTAGATCATTGCTCCGTACCTAGTTCTTCTCCTCTCTCCCCCTCTGACGAGATGAAACAAAAACTCACAATGAGCATTCTGCAAAAAATCCGAACAGACCCTCTGTCGAGCTTGTTTGATGTCACCCCTAAGTGAGGATGATCCTTCCGTGGGATCAGAACCAAATTCACGCAGACGGGTAAGGATCCCTCCTCTTTCTCTTAACTTCCTCCCTTAGCTGTCTCTCACTCCCATCATTCGAGTTTTGCCTGCCAAACATCCGGTCGTACTACTGGCCGGGTCCAAATCGTAGTAACGCACGGGTAAATGGGGAGCACTACGCTAATGTTGGGCGCACCGCGACTGCCCGTTGAGAAATACAGCGTAATGATGACAGGCAGCGACGCTTCAAAGCTCACCCGGAACAAAAGGAAACGAGAGAAAGCGTCAAAAAAAAAAAAAAAAAAAAGGGAAAAGATTCATTCCTACACCACGTTTTTCCTGTGCGCAGTCATAGATGCCTATACTTCTACGATCACGCCTCTCAAGCCCAATCTTCCAGCACCATTGTTCCCGTGTTTATCAAAGACCTCCCTCCCGCATCGTTTTCTCGACCGATCTGACCAAGAATCGACCGAGCTATGCACCTTTCATTTTGTTCCTCCCGACTTCACCGCGCACACTCTTCTGTACTGATCTCCTAATCTAATAACTCTCCTCCAAAACTAACATCGCCATCAGGCTCGCCCACCTTCAGAACCCCCACTTTGCTTCTTACCCCGCTTGAATCCATCGAGGATCGAGCTAGATTCGAATTTTTCGCTCCCATCGCCTTCCCCCTCCGCCATATCTCCGCGCGAAGCTTTTCTCACTAATCTCCTATATTACTACTTTTCCACTAATTCCAACTTCAGATTAGCGGTCGCCCACCCCGAGAACCCCCGTCTAACACTTTTCCCTACCCGTTTCTGTCAAGAAACAGGCGAGATCTACGTTCTTCCGGCTTATCCCAATCACCATCTCCATTTCTCCATGCACTGTATTCCTCTTCTACCTCCCACCTTAGTAACCTTCTACTCAAGCCAACAACGGATTCCGCTTCGCCAGCCAAA